AGCATATTGTAACAAAATATGACACTTTTATGATTTTCCACTAAAGTGATGTACAGGCATAGGCGTTATCTACATACATTTCAACATAATTTTGCTGTGATGTGGATATACAGGTGTTCATATCCTACACACATTTCATTGTAACTTTGCTGTGGTGTGGATATGTGTGCAACAATTTTAGTAAGTTAGATGTGATTTATTCTAATTACTCTTGTCACCCATATGTTTTATGTTTTTTCAATTTAAACACTGAATAATTTGGTTGGTTCATTGGTTTGTGTTCAAGATATATCAGCGAGATTTGGTGCATGAATATGTAACATGTTGCTACAACCATCTTTCTATCTATTTTGAAAATTTTGTAGAATTTCTATGAAAGAAGGCATTTATAATTTTTTTGCTAGTTTTTCAATTTATGGTTCTACCACTTTGTACTGGTTTGCTATATCTCCTTCGCATGTTATATGTTACTGTTGTATTTTTAATCCATTAATATAGTTGTTGTTTTTTGTAAAAACCATAAAATGTATAAGTACAATAATCACAGATAATATCATTATTGTTATCTAAAAAGTATTGGTAACAAAAAGCAGAATATGAAGAATCTGAGGATGTTCAGATTGTGCTGATGAATTGCTAGAATGTCAAATTTCATTAAAATGTTAATAGTCTTTGAAAAATATTGAAATGTATGCATGGTCTTTCATTCTCAAAACAATAAGTTAGTCATAAAATAGAATTAAGGGAATTACTGTGAACGTGATCCATGGTAATGAAAAAGAGTTTTTAATTGAAGAAAATAAAATGTTATTTAATATCAGTGATTTTTTTTTACCCTTCCAAAGAATGTTATTATTATTATCATTTTAGTTTTGATCTGCATAATATAATAAATGTTTGAAAGCTTACTGTGAAGTCAGTATACTATTGTACAATTCTAGATTATCAAGAAGTACCTAGAGGCAACTGGTCCTGCTTATTTGAAGCTTCTTGATGTGTGGAAGATCGACAGAGAAACAGAGGTGAGAAATGTGTGAATTAGTAGGAGATAACCAATAGGTTTGCTTCAAAGGATGTATTATTAGATCAGTGAAGGTACTTAACTTTTGGTATAAATAACTATTCTAAAGCACAGGTGCACTAACTTTTATCCTACTCAATCAAAATGTTATATTATTTAGATTAATTAATATAAATTACTGATTTTCCACCAAATAAAAAACTTACTAGGTTATTTCAGGTAACAAAGTCCACATTATGACCAGATGATAAATCATTTTGAGCAATATTTAGTCTTTTTAGTCAGTCTGGTCAGTATTATGAAATATTTTTGATGAAGCAGTGTATGCTCATAATTGTTTTAAGAATTGGGGATGTTATTTATCTCCTGGATTTTTCCTTCCTATAGTGAAAATTAGGTAATTTCAGTTATAACTAGTGCACAGTTACCTGACCTTTACAAGGATTAGAAATTGGAATGCAGTGGGACAGTTGTGGTGATTTTTAGTGGAATGAAAGAGAAAAAAAACTCAGTGTGAAGTTCAAGCTAAACTATTAACTGAGGAAAGACTGAAGATTAAAGGATGATCATTGAAGTGGAGAAGTATAGCATTGTGATAAAGTTAGAGATGGGAAGTATAATATACTGTATGTGAAGATGGCTCCCATTATCAGTAGGGGTTAGTATAGAAACAACAAAAAGACTTCACAGTGACTTCTAGCATTGTCGGAGGTCGAAATAATCTCCATTGAAAGCACCAAAACTCCATTAACAATTGACATCCTTCCTGTAACTGTCCAATCTAAATGGCTACTGGAATGTGCAAATACTTCTGCTCCATGTGATAGTTGCAAAATGCAAATAAGACTTATTATATGTAACAGTAGATAAGTACCTTGACCAGTCAAACTACAAATGTTAACATCTCAAGTTAATTGGATTTAGAATGTTATCAATCAGGACTTATAAAAATTCGAAAATTTTAAAGGCATAAAATATACACTGAAAAGTAAGGTATGGAATATTTTTATACTACAGAAAACTTACTATTAAGATGATCCATTATGCATGTGTCTGTACATATTAGCATCCATCGCACAGAGTTGGCTAGCTTGATTATCATAATTATGTTATGGTAACTGGAAACTGTCTGATGGTATACAAGGGTTATTTTGTTTTAGGATTTTTGCCCAAAAAGGGAGTAAAAAACACTCTGATATAGGACATATTTTCACTTTTTTTTATTGTCTTTCGGCTTGCATCATTTGGCTGGCTGGATTACAGTAAATTTTGGCATGGAAACTGTCTGCTGGTGTACGAGAGCTTTTTTGTTCTATGGATTTGCCCCATAAGGGGATAAAAACACTCTGAAATAGGACATATTTTCACTTTTTCTATAGAATTGTGACTTTGAATTTAAAGACACAAGTGCTTAATTAACATCTAATGAAGTCATTAGGGATTTAATAAGGAAAGAAAGAGGGGGGGGACATTATTCTTTATACAGTTTTTACTTCCTTAAAGCTAGCAGTTGATAAAGTAGCCTGTCTGTTAATGTAAACTTCATAGTATCTAGTTTCTAGCCTTAAAAATATAATTTGATCTAGTATGTCTATCACTTTTTAGGTTATGAAATTTATGAGTTACCATATGAAAAAACATTAAAAATACAACTTTTTTCCTAAGAGCTCACAATTTATTGTTGATCAGAAAGTTCTATTTTATATAACTCGTCAGTT